AAATGCACTTCGAATATTCAACCCAACAGGCCCAATTCTATGTTATTAACACTTACCGGACCTATATACATACTTTAACTAATTTAAAGCATCCAAAACAATAGCTATTTATGTATCCAGTTACAAAATGCCTTATTTTGTATATCAAGTGAATATTTGCAGGACGAGCGGAGTAAGTTCCCGTAAAATTAACGAGTTACTCAAAACGACCTTTCGCTACGTGTTATATGCAAAATTGTTTTCTAATTTTGACTAGATTATTGATAAAATTGTGTTTTGTAAAAAAATGACTAACCATTATTTTTTTGTACTTTTAAAGTCAAACATTTAAAAAAATATTTATCATGATAAAGAGTTTTTATTTTCTTTTCAAAGCTTGTTAGATTTCAAGTGGGATAGTTTGTATATGTTACGTTAAATATCCGATTTCGTGTAATGCCCGAAATAAATGTGTTACGCAAAATAATCAAATTCGGGTAATGCCCGAAAAAAATGCACAACACTAGGTTTGTGCAACGAATAATTCCCAAACCCGAAATTGTACTCTTCTACGGCTATTGAACGTTACAAAATAAGCAGAACTAGTTTTGCGCATTTTGAATTACCTAAGACTAGTTTTATAAATTTTTTATATGGGGTTATTACACGAAGGAAATATTTGGTCTGTTAGCTAGTCAATTTATTTGCTGAAATTATTGTTAGAGCAAATTAGTTTGCTGACTACATTACATTGCAGCAAATATTTGCTATAAAATATATTTGCCAAACACTGAAAAATAGAAAGCAAAGCATCTTTGCTCATTTTATAGCAAATATATTTGCTGTGTCATTACACGGTGACAAATATTTGGCTCAAAAAATTTCATAGCAAATACGATGAAACCTACATTTTCTTTGCTGTCGCTTTAGTAGGAAAGTAGAAACGAAACGAACGTGTTCTGTGCTTTTATAGTGTCGCCTAAAATAGTTGTGAATATTTAGTTTTTATTGAATATGTCTGATTCCGAAGAAGAAAATACATTGATGATTTGTCTTTTTGGAGAATGAAACGCGTCGTCGCAAGCGTAATGTTTGGGTGCGAGAATGGGTGAAACGTCGCAATAACCTAGGTTGCTATGCGCAACTTCTACGAGAGCTAGTGAATGAGGTGCCACAGCTGTACAAAAACTTTCTTCGCATGAATATTGCTGACTTCAATAACCTTTTGGAGATGGTGTCTCCGTTGATTAAAAAAGAGGATACAAACATGCGGGAATCTATTTCTCCTGGCGAACGTCTAGCTCTCACATTGCGTTTTCTCGCCACAGGGGACAGTTTTATGTCTCTACAATACCTTTTTCGCATTCCTCAATCAACGATTTCAAAAATAATTCCTGAGGTGTGCGACGCAATATACAAAGTTTTGCTGTCTGATTACTTCAAGGTAATTTCTTCTATATTCTTCAATCACTTCAATAATTTCATATTATATATTAGTTTCCATCAAATGAGGAGAATTGGCTCGAACTGGCTCGTGACTTCGATAATAGGTGGAATTTTCCCCACTGCGTAGGTGCTGTCGATGGAAAACACATTGTAATGAGAGCCCCAGCACATGAAGGAAGTGTTTTTTATAATTATAAAGATATGAAAACATTATTCTCTTTTCACAAATCAAATTTTAAATAAATAATTCTTCTAAAGGTACACATAGCATTGTGTTGATGGGGATTGCGGATGCAAAATATAATAATAATAATAATTAATAATTACACATTTATTGTCCACATATAAAGTACATATAGTACAGTTTATACAATTACAAATATATATATAAAAAAAAAGTCAGTAGAGCATTGGCCTAAATTGGTTCAGGTGCGGATATTATCCACCCCTGGTCTTCCACCAATGCCAACATGATATAAAAAAAATGCATTTTGAGATGGCTTTCTAAAATTATAAGAAAAGTTTAATGCAAAGGGAAAGAAAGAGGAAAGGAAACAGAAAAGGATAAACAAAAGGAGAAAGAGAAATGAGAAAATATAAAAGAAAATAAAAAAGAGTAGAAATAAAAAGTAATTATTGTGTTTGCAGCAGTATATTTTTATAGCGGCATTTAAATGTAATAATGTTGGATCAATTTTTAACAGGTTATTGATATGAACTGTGACAGGTAAAAGAACTTTTAAAACTAGCTTTGAAAAATCTAGGCAATCTAAGTATGGATTTAAAACGAATATTTAGGTTATGAACATCAGTTCTAAATGTTAATTTTTCATGCAAGTATGGCGGTGTCCTCATATTAAATAATTTTTGACTGAGACAAGCAAAATGTAAATTTCTTCTATTAACCATACTTAACCATTTAGTTTCTTTAAATTTAGTAGAAATGTGATCATATTTACGAATTCCAAATATTAACCGTACACAAGAATTCTGCAATTCTTCCAGACTCGAAAATGTTTAAACAAGGACCATATACAATATCACAATGATTAAAATTTGATAAAACTAGTGAATCACATAACATTTTTTTTACATCTGGTGATAAAAAATATTGTTGCGCATATATTAGTTTCAAACCTGCATAAGACAATTTTAATTTTGATGTAATATGTTGTTCAAACTTCAATTTTGAATCTACAGTAAGTCCTAAGTTTTTACATTGCGTAACAATTGGGATAAACGCGTCATTAATTTTTAATAATGTCGCGGAGTTTACGAATCCCTAATTGACTCATTACAAAAAATCATTGCTTTGGATTTTTTAGGATTAATTTTTAGTGAATGATTTTTAGATACATTAAAGATTTCATTTAAATCAGAATTAATATGCTGTATAGATTCATTTAAATTAGAGTACTTAAAAGAATAGTATAATTGGGTGTCATCAGCGTATAAATGATAATTACAGTATTTAAGTATACTTGGAAATTGTGAGGTATAGAGAGTAAATAATAAAGGGCCCAAAATACTACCTTGAGGTACACCAGATGTAATCTCCAACAGTGTGGAAGACATATTATCTATTTGAACAATTTGTTTTCGCTGGTAAAGATATGATTTTAATAGAGACACAGATGTATTATTAAATCTAAAAAAACTTCAACATGGCAAGTAAAATTTTATGATTTATATTATCGAAAGCTTTCGAGAAATCTAATAGTATTAAGATAGAAATCTTGTCCTTATCCATGGCTCTAATCAAATCATCTATAACATCTGCTAGAGCTGTGGCACAGCTGTAGCCTGACCTAAAACCAGATTGTTTGCTAGGTAATATATTGTTATTTTTCAAAAACCCTCTCATTTGAATTTCCATTACTCTCTCTAATATTTTTAAAAAAACTGGTAAAATACTAATTGATCTTAAATCACTGTATTCTTCAGGTAAAGTTACTTTTGGTAAGGGCAAAATTTTAGCAAATTTCCATGATTCAGGAAAATAACTATTTTTTAAGCATTCATTAATAAAGTGTGTAATAATGGGTAATAGAAATGGACAACAGAAGTGTAAAATGATAATATTAATATCATCCATTCCGTAAGCTTTAGATTTGATATTGTAAATAATATTATTGGCAACATCTTCGGAAACATCATTAAAATAAAAATCTTCAATAATATTTTCTTTAAAATTGTTAAGGTAAAAATGTTGTAAATCTATTTGTATAGCAGAGTTATTAATGTTTGAAGTAAAAAATTTATTAATGGCATTAACATCTTTTAGGTTTGGAGGTAGGTCAATTTTTTTTTGTCTCGATATATTGAGTTTTTTTAATTCTGACAATTTTTCCTTAATATTACAAGTTTGAAATTTAAAATTTAAGTAAGCCCTTTTTTCTGCTTTTATAGCTGTTGTTGTGTAGTTTCTTAATTGTTTATAGTAATCCAAGGAAAATGTTTAATTAGTTTTCTAGTTTTTGATTTTTTTGGAGCATATATATCTAAAACTGTAATTATGTAGCTATTTAAAAACTCTACTTTTTTGTCAATGTTTTTAGTAAAATAAATATTGTACCAGGGCATAGATGCCAAATGATTTTGAAAATGTGCATGATTAATCTTTGTAAGTGACCTATATTCTACTTTAAAGTCGTTTTGAGGTACATTGTGAAAATTTTTAAATTTGCAGTTTATTGCTGAATGATCCGCAACTAGATTATGATTAACAAATTCTGCACAGAAATTGATATTAATATTAGTAATAAATAAATCTAACAAAGAGTTAGCCCTTGTTGGTTCTTTAATTATTTGTAATAGATCAAATGTTTCAAGTATCTTGTTAAAACGAATTGTAGTAGAATCATCAATATCCAACATGTCTAGATATAGATTCACGTATATTGATGTTGGTGTGAACGGCAGAATTTCAGATGGTGGTGTATTCAAAAAAACGTCGTTTTTTAAATCACTTACTGATGAGATGAACCAATTCCTTATTTACTGGTGGCTGATGATGCATTTGCATTGAGTATTAATCTAATGAAGCCATATGCACTACGAAATTTGAGTGGAATACAACGAATTTTCAATTATCGCTTGTCTCGTACAAGACGCATAGTAGAAAATGCATTTGGAATTTTAGCAAGTCGTTTTCGTGTATTTGTAAAACCGATTCATCTTGATCCAAACAAGACACAATCAATAACCGTTGCATGCTGTGCTCTTCACAACTACCTCATTACTCGAAGCAATATATATTTCAATCCTACGTTGGTTGATCGCTATGATGATCAAGGAAATGTTGTGAATGGTGATTGGCGTAGAGAAGTTAATACTGAAAATAATTTTTACCCACTACAAGTGCAAAGAACTTTCATCTCCAAAAGAGGAAACCAAATACGTGATGAACTGTCGCAATATTTCATTCATGAAGGAGAAGTTAGCTTTCAGTATAGTCGTATTTGAATAAAATGATAATTTTTTAAATGCTTATTAGTTTATTATAATAAAGAAAAATTTCTACAAAAATATTTCGAAACATCTATTATTTAAAAAAAATGCCAACGTTAATTTCATTACTGATTTGGTTGTTGCTGAAGTGTAGTTAACATCGTTGTGTTCTCATTGAGAACAAATATGTGTGAGGTCACATTTGCAATTAACTGATTTTCGGCTTCAATGCTGTCCATTAAACAACGTGCCACTTTGAATCGAACTCGCTGTGCAGAATTCGGGTTAGGAAGAGAACGAAGCTCAGTGGCTACGTATTTCCCGAATGCTTCAAATTCATCTTCTGCACTCTTTTGCCGGTGCTGTTTCAACTGATTGACGGCCTCTTTCATCCCTTCTGCGACAATAGTTGCTGATGATGTGGAAGATGCAGTTATCGAAGACGATTGCGACATTCGTCTACGTTTCGTATATTTTGGGGTCGAGCTTCTGTCAATCGTAGAGTCAGTCAATATTTCATCCTCTGTCGCCTAAAAACTAAATCAGTTAAAACAGTATACACAAAGAATGCATATACATATACCAAATTTGAGATGGTGTCAGTAGTTTGCTCTTCTTCAGCACGGCCAACAAAGTTCATTACTTGGTAGAATTTCCATTTTACTTCTTCTTGTGCGTCTTGGCCGGATTTGGTTTTTCGAGACTTAGCGAAATAACTTCGATACTGAATTCTGATGTTGGACCATTTCGCGATGAGATAGGTGTCGGTAAACTTAGAATTGAAGTCGACCTCTGACATATGTTGCCATGCCGCTACTCGCTCCACTTTGTTGCGATATTTCCTATCCTTTGCATACCATAGCATTGGCACTGATTCGACGCATGCAATTAATTTAAAAACGTCGTCGTCTGTCCATTCCATACTCACTTTAGGTTTAACTTGTCGTTTTTTTGAATGTGTGTTTTTTTTCTTTTCGATAACAGGGACCCAATTCGATTGTGATTGTGAATTATTATCAAAGGTTTCATCAACTTCTTCATCGTTGGAATCGAAATTATCCAGTAAACTTTTGTCTGTCATTTTTCGTGCTTAAAAACAAAAATATAAATAGTAATCTTCAAATAATAATAGTTGTTTATGATCAACATTTCAACAACTTATGCTGCAATAAGGTTTAAAATCCCGTGCGAACCTTACCTACAATTCTTTTAATCAAACAACCTTGTTCAATTAAAATAATATTAGGTTATGTTGGCACAAGATTTTGAACCTTATTGCAGCACAAATGTGACTAGCAAATACGTTAAATTAACGGATGGGAGTTAAAACTAAAACAATTTTAATTAAACTAAATAATTTTTACCTGAAAAAATCCTCCAATCGCTATACAAACAGAACTACATTGATCTTCGTCGAATTTCTCAACACAACTAATCACGTGGCCACGTCTAAAAATATTGCATATTTGTTTATACCGAGTTTCGGTATGAGCAAAGAAGATGATCGATCAAATATTTGCTCCGTGGTGGAGCCAATAGCCAAAAAACTGCATTACACGAAGACAATATTTGCCATAATTTTTATTTGGCAAACACAATATCAAATATTTTTCAGCAAATATTTGAAGAAGAAAATATAATAATCATTACACGAATAAGCAAATATTTGGCCTACTATTTGCTGCATTTTAGGCAAATATTTTCTTCGTGTAATAACCCCTTTAATGATCAAAACTAGTTTTACTTGTTTTATTTATTCAACGTCCAAACCCGAATAAAAAGTAGCGTTGTTTCATGTTCTTGTTTACGTTTTGATTTTTCGTTTGTGCTCGTGAAAACCAGTTTTGTACATTTATAAAAATAACGAATAATAATTCTGCTTGTTCTATTTAATACATAATAAAGTTACAACATAAAGTTGAAAATATTATTTAAATGTGCTTTATTTAAATACTGACAAATATAACAAAAAATAATTAATTCTTGTGTATCAATTACTTATAAGCAAGTATTTAAAAATTATTTATTTGAACAAGAACTTGAATGACATTTTAGAATTACAGATTACATTATTTTTTCGATACGAACATGCTCTATTAATACATTTTTTTATTGCACATAAATGAAATAAACCGTCGTGTAGATCCGGATGTATCAGAAGATACAGTTCTAAGCAATATTTCTTTCTTAATTTGTTATCAGCCAATTGAAACTCATTTCTTCAATAAAGTTTTTGTAAAATTCTAGTCTGGTATTCGAACAAGAACATTGTCTCCTACTAGATCTGGTTAAATTTTTTTATTTGATTATGCCAGCATTCAACTATAATTAATAATAATTTATTCATCCAAAATATGCATTACAGTTAAAACAAAATTAATATACAATAAAAACTAATAAGTTTGGTATGAATAAGCTACTCGATAAGTGATAAATCACTTGTTTCAAGAAGAAAATAAAAGTTATTAAAATAATTAGTTTGTGACTAAAATAGTCACAACTTATTTTACTAGAACTATCAAGCAAAATTTACTATATTTTACACTCTAAAAGTAGGAGATTTTAAGTACAATAATTATAAACATATACATAGACATATACACACTAAAATAGAATATAATAAAGTAAAACCAATTAAATAACAATAATAATAACAGACGTGCAGTGTAGGAAAAATTTAATTAAATTATTGACTTCATTGGAAAAATTAACAAAGCCGGACATCATATACCTATATTTTTTATCACATGAAAATTATACTCATATATCTTTATACAGCCTATAAGTATAAATTTACAATTTTACGGTAAGTATTTTTGATTCAATTAAATCATTTATTATTTGACGGGAAGTATTAAACAATAGATTTTTAATTTGTATTTTAAATGTAGATTTGTGAATAAGATTTTTAATGGATTCGGGCAATTGGTTGTACATTTTAGGTGCAAGGTAAGCAAAGGATCGTTGAGTAAGTGATTTACCAACCTGAGGAAGATGATGAAGATTTCTGTTCCGAGTATTATAATAATGGAATGGTAGATTAGGTTCTTTCGTGGTGAACTTGTATTTTTGAACCGAACAGTAAAAGTATAGTTGCCTAAGATCCAGAATTTTGCCTTCCGAATACAATAGGTTACTAGGATAACGAAAATCTCGCGAAAAAATTATTTTTAAAAACCTTTTTTGTATTGTTTCTAATGCTTTCAAGTGACACCTAAGTGCACTTCCCCAAATAACAATGCCATATCTTAAATGACTTTCTACCAAGGCGTAATATAATGTTATTAGATTTTTAGCGTGTTCACGATTCGTAGCTATATCACAGGAACGTTGGCAAAGAAAACTGAAATTTAGACTCAAATTCGTTGCTTACTTTTAAAATACTACAGGTTGAATGAATTTTGAGCAGTTTTCCACAACTGTGATGGGTTGTTGACACACAATGCACAACGATCCTTCATTTTCGTATTTTGTTTATCTTTCAGTTTATACATCTGCAGTAGAAGCTTGAACTTCTTTATTTAACATATTTTCTATTCCTTCATCTTTATTAAAAATGTGCACTTACTATCCGCCATATTTTCCATTTCTTCATCGGCAATAGACTCTTGTACCTCTTCTTAAAGAGTTTCATTAGCACCTGCTGCAGCTTCTGTACGTTCAATAGTACGCTCAAGTTTAGTAGCTTCGTCTTCGGACTCTAGTGAGTCAACTAGGTCTTGGGGTAAGTCAGTGTCTTTTAAACCATTTCTCTGGGCGCACCCAAACATGACCTCATACGGCTATCGCTTGATTGCACTGTGATAGCTTGTATTTTTTTAACTGTACAAAACAGAATCCGTTAGTCCAGTGTCTAGTAATTTCATCGGACATCCAACATATAAGAGCATCTCGTAAATCTCGGTTACGACGTTTTACAGAACCTTGTTTCTGAGGATGACGCAGCTTTCCATGTGTCATTTTTAAATTGGACCACTGACAATTTAAATTATTTATTACTTGGTTTGCAAATTCCCGGCCGTTTTCGGAATGTAGAATAGATAGTGTCTCAAATTAACAGAAAATTTCTGTAAGGTTTCTTGCAGTTTCTGCAGCAGTCTTACTGTTTATTGGGCGTAATACACAAAATTTTGTCAAATAATGCTGGCAATTTAAGATGAATTTATAATATACAACGGGTTCAGTCTGCATGTGAATAAGGTCAACTTGGCATCCAGTTTACTTAAAATAGGCTTAACAGCGATTCCTTTTTTGTGTGCAGTTTTTTTCAATTAGCAGATTTTAGACAGTTTTAGGTATATATAATAATTTTTCTAGTAATGTTTGCAGATTTTTCTTTAACTCCTCTTTCATCCCTGAAATAAAACACATCCAAAAAGAGTAAAAAAAATATTTAATAAATCGATAGAATCTATCAAACAAACTTTTATGTCGGTAATAACCTGTAGTGAGATGTGCATGATGATTTATAGGAAACACTTCATAAGTGGGAACAAAATATGGTATGGCATCGGAATCTTCTTTGCGATTTTAAATCAACTTTTCCACACCATTTAGTTATTATATCTAAACGATTTATTCTTCTGTACTGTTTAGCACATAGAGAGTTTGAATCAGCTTTTGTCAAACACTTAAGGCTCGGCCAACGCCCTCAGTTTTAAATGGTTTTAAAAAATACACTAAAAGTTTAATGTTATGTTCATAGATTACGCTAGTATATCTATTTCGGTAAATTAAATCGAATACAGTGTTCCAAGTAAAAAATCTAAATGATTATGCGTATCCCTAGAACACTAATAATTTGGCCGATTGTATCGACAATCTGTAAAATTGAATTTCTGGAGAATTTTGGTATTGTAATGGTATTATTGAGACGGTGTTGTCAATTCTAATTATTTATAACAGAAATATGTAAATAACAGAAATATGTAAAAGCTTAAATATATCTTAAAAATACGCAATTTATGTTGTTATACGTTAGAAGGTCAGTGAAATTTTACAAACATCAAATAATAAAATTACTTATTATTAAAAAATTTCTTGTTTTTTTTATAATGAATTACGTATTACTTGTTACACTCAGCTTCCGTTTAAGGACATATTCTTATTTAAACTGGCAACATTGCTATATACAGCTTGGTCAAAGTTCAACTGGAAAAGAGAGATTTCGGTTCGAAAACATTGCTCTGCAATTTGAAACAGATACAACATAGCAGTGTTGCCGTCAGGCTGGAAATTTCCCGCTTATACTGAAATTTTGGTTGTATAATGTATACACTATTTTTCAAGAATTTTGTTTTTCACTTTTCACCCTTATTGGCTCACACAATGAAGGGTGGCTGACAATTTTGCAAAGTAATCATATTCTTCTTTTCTTTTTGAATATTTTATTCTATTTACTAGATCACTTAGTGATGATGGCAGTTAATAAAAAATAATGAATATATAAGTTTTTATTGTAGCCGTTTGCCATATGCCATCTGCTAATAAAGATATTTTTAATTGTTCCTTATATTATATAATATTATATTAGCATTAATTTAAATTTCTATTAACTAGAAGTGAGAATTTTCAATTCGGCTACACTGTAAATCGTAAATCATAAAATAAATAAAAAAGGGTAGGGAATGGTTAATGACACTCAAAAGGTACCTGAAGGATTTGTTATTCAGCCAGCCTAATTTCAGTTTTCTTCTGCTAGTGAATGGTTTGTTCTGGAATTTGATTATTTATTTTGTGTTATAATCTAAAGTGTTGGGATTTTTAGACCTAAAGTTCTTGCTAATTCAATTTTAAAAATCCAAATTAATTAATCATACTTTTTTGATTCAATATTTTTCGATATTTTAATAAATAACCTATAACTTAATGTAAATTATTTTGATAAGATTTCCCGAATATGAGTATTGTGCGTAATATATTCATGGATATGGATAGTTTTAGTAATGTCAGTGTCGCGTATTGCGTGAAAAAATGTTTCGTTTATAACAGCGACCTAACGCACATTCTTTAATAGGTACTTTTTGACGAATTCAGCAATATGACTGTTCATTGCATTACTTTTCATTTTAGCGCCATCTAGCGAGATA